TTTATTCATGAACAAGACCACAGAAAACTGCATTTTAATAAGCAGAATAGTGCTGTAAATGAATGACACCCAAGAGGGCTGTAAAGTTTTTTTCTGCAGATCTATTGTCAATCACTATGTAATCCGGTAACATTCGTGCAGATTTGTGGTCCTGGTTAAAAGTATTGCATGTATAAGACTAAATATTCACCCTCAGTGACGCGCTGCAGACAGGGTTCACATCAGCGTTCTCCCCAGAGATGCCGACTCTATATAGTGGTATGAAACGGGTGCTAAACCTGACGAGGGCATGACATTGCACTCAGACACCGCTAGCCAGTGCTGCTGGCAGATGAATGAGTACGAAGAACCCATCCTCTTACGGAGAGCTTAACTGAGGTAATCAGATATTGGCAAGTCGCTGTCAAGAACCCGTCCGGCGACAAGGGAGGGAACGTTTCATGTTTCACCCACCATTTTAAACCTGGAAGACCCCCCCGGGTGTGCACGATGCCAAGCGTGCCTTTTGGTGCTAAGGCAACAGCCAGCAGGACTTATCTCAATTATAACCACATGAGGAATGCTTCAGGTGCAACACACTGCCAAAACGGCCAGCTGCCTCAGCCAGCTGTTAGCACTACCCGCAGTCTGCAATGAGATGACACAGAGATGAAAAGGAGTTAGTGTTACTACCACTCTCTAGCAATGATGCTATGATCTGGGGAAATTCCAGGAAGGATCATGGCATTATCCTATAGAAAGTTCTGGTGGAAAAAACATCTGGAAAAAAAAATGACAAGAAGCATCAATGACAGTGGGGGAGCTACCACAGACAAATGACTGTATTTTGAGAAACAAGCTTTGCTGGTCTGATGGAGCCAGTAAGGAGTCTTGTAGCCCTCCACCAGTGAAAAAGGGATCAGAGGATGTTCAGCTGTCACCACAGCAGGACAAAGAGTAGATCATCATTACTGTATATGAAAGAATCAAGTTCTAAAAATAATAATTTGGTAAACCAGTCATACAAAGAAATGTTGTTTAGGGTAGCAGATTAAACCAGTTCCACTGTTACCTTACTTAGCAAAGGAACCTGCGTTATATTTGACAACATTGGTAAATTTGTGTTTTAAAATGCAGGAAGTTTGCACAGCTATTGGGACTGCACAGAAGTGAAGTGCAATTTGAACTAACAAAGAAAATACATTGATCGTTAAACCCTCACAGTAATTGACACGTTTTCGTATTTCAACACTTCTTTCCAGGGACGGTTACATGGCAAAGGTAAAAATTACCTGGACTATATGTACTTTGCTTTGTTTTTCTAAGATGAAAGCTGTCACTTTGAAGAGGAAATAACCACCACTAGCCAAAAGTTGCAAATCTACCTAGCTAAGGTAAGGCCCTGAATCTTCTCTTGGGCAGCTAAATACTGTGTAACAGTGTAACTAGGAAAATTATACTATTTTAAGAAGTGTTTTCCATCTGCCTATCACTCCAATGGGAGGACTGTTAAAAGATGATGACTTCTCATTGCTTTTGCTTCTTAAATCTGGATTTATGAACCTAACTTCAGTTACGCTATTGAAAAGCAATGCTGTTCAGGCAGCAATTTGCCTACCAAATACTACTTACAGAGCTATACTAATTTTCTGACTAAGGCTGATGAACCAGTGTTTACAGAAATGAAAAGAACATACTAATCTCCTTTCAAAGACCATGAAAAAGGCTGCTTAACAAGTGGAGGGAAAGAAAAAAAAAAGTAGGGCAAAAAATGTAATTTGGAGTTTCTGTGAAGATGTCACACACAATATAAGTGAGACCAAAAATAAACTCACAATAGAACCTGACATTAAAAAAAGATTAAGAAGGAAAAAAACCACACAATCCAATCAAGTTGGTAAAGCCTAATTAGCAAAGACCCACCCAAAGATCAACAAAATGCATTCTTTTCATTTTGTAGTACAAAGAAGCTGCATATATTACTTGTATTAAAAAGACTCTAAAATGAATTTAATTAACTATGAAAGACTTGATTTTGCCTTTGGGTATATGTAAGAACAGCAGCTGATTTTACAAGATGCACTGTGATGCCTGATTATGTAGTGAGACAAAAATTGAAACCTTCAGGTTCCACTGCCCCTCTCGGTTCAGAGAATTTTGTGGTCCAGAATTTAATTATATTTGGCCACAGTCACAAAGCCTGGATCAGCATGTGAATTCAAGTTCACGCAGGGGCAACAGACCTTTGTATATTTTGGAATCTGTTTTGCAAACTATGACTTGAGAGTACCGCTTAGATTTCAGGGAGCACACGAGAGCGTTGCCCATTCGCAGGGATAGCATGGGCAAGCCACATGGCTGAAAGGGAGAGACCTGTAAGGAATTTATTACAGGTACATGAAATGCCAAAGGCTGAAGATTATTACATGGATTTGGCCACACAACAATGCATATACCTACCCTATAGTGCTCATGTTCCAATTATTTAACTGTGAGTAATTCAACTATGTTAATACTTTTCCACAGTTGTATAAACACAGAAGCAAAAAGGAAATAAAAGATTTAAGATGAATTAAATTAGGAGAGTCAAAGGAGGTGCTACTGACTGTAGAATATCTCCTCTCTCCAACTCATGCTTGGCTACCAGAGAGTCCTGGCACACACTTCTCTTCCCTCCTCTCTTCAGGAGCTCTCCTGTGGGCAGCCACATTGGGAGCCCTGAGCCTACAAATTCTGCCCGAATCCAACCCGCAGGCTCTTAGCATGCCTTGGGAGCACCTCAGCCAGCAGGTGGGATCTCTCTCCTTGGAGACTTTCAACACTTGCCTGGGAATGGCCCCAAGCAGCCTGACCTAACAAGGAAGCAGACACTGCTCCAAGCCTAGGGTGGAGTAGGAACCTCCAAGGGTCCCTTCCAGGGCAGCTTTTTCCATGGCTCTGCACAAGGCACAGCGCTGATCTCGCACGTGCCTCCCAGCACTCAGACCGAGCCACTTGCCTGCATCAAATTGCCATGGATGCTCCATCCCCCTGGCATATGTAAGGGCATAACTTGTCATTTATGAGCACCTCTCAGTAGATCTTACCACAGGCACTTGAGTGCTAGAGGAAGCCTGGGCCCTCAGCCTTCCTCACAGCTCCCCCAGGATCTGTTTGCACAGATGTAGACATTAACCAAAGTAGCAAGCACTCTGTATCTCCAGGCTTGGATGGTTTGAATGCCTCCAGGAGCAGAGTGGCTTCCTCCACCTCTGGATTTCTGGATACAGGCCATACTACTGTATAGATTCTCTGGACTTCTGTTCCAATGCCTTTGTGTCCCAATTCAAGACCCTTCCCTCACCCAACATACAGACAAAGCCAAGGCTTGCCCCTCTCTGCCAGCCTGGGATACGTCCCTGACTGCCAGCAAGTCCTGTCAGTGCTGTGTAGGGAGGAAAGCCAAGAGCCTTGACTCAGACCAGCACTCACGACCCTGGGCTAAAAGGTACCCGTAGATGACAGTAAAAGGCTATGCACAACCTCTGGCAACTTACATAAGACACTTGTGGTCAAGGGAAAGACAGATTGTCCCTGGCAAAAGCTCAAACTTCTACTTTTGTGCCATACTCCATTTCCCCTCACTCTAAAAGGCTGTTGGAAAACAAAAAGACTACTTCAACCAGCATAGTAATACCAGTATCCCCCCACAAGCTGATTGCTAGAGATCCTAAAAGACAATGGGGTCTGGCTTACCAAACAAGCAGCCATGCTTGACTAGCTGCTGACAATAAATCAGGCCCACATGTCAGCTTCAGCTTTGGCTTCAGTGACTTCTAGCAGCATTTTGGAATGCCCCCATGGTAGGACAGCAAGGCTGTCCTAACAGCTGGTCAGTCTGACTGGTCATGTCAATTGTTTTCTACCATTAAGGTCTGCTCTCATGGCAGGACCTCCCATTGTTATTGAGGAGACTCTGAAAGCTAAATAGTGTAAACAAGCAGAAAATTTGGCTTTGAGGATGACACCAGAGGCACATGAAACAGAACAGTGTGGATGTAACCATCAGTTCTACCACAGCAGAAGTAATTGTGGACAGTCACCATAGCAAATTACTTCGAGAACACACTTCTTTTTTTGTAAGAATTGAGTGGAAAAAAATATTGGAAAACGTATGACAGAACACCTTTTCTCTATTGCTGTTTTTAAATCTGTCAATGTTTTCTTTAACCTTTGATCAAACTCCAACTACTACCTAACAAATATTTTGCCAGTCATTGCACAATGGCTTTTCATAAGCACATAATGAAACTCAATGTTAATTTCCTCAGGACTAACATAGAGAGTTTCCCTGCTGTGGGAGTGCAACACTGCTCTATATCAGGAAAGGAGAAAGGATGCTCTTTTGGAGAAAGCATAGTTACAAATACTGAGAATACATGGGCTTTTTAACAGCTTTGCCATCGCCGTCCTGTTTCAGATCGTGAACAGAATGTTTGGATCTGCCTCCACAAGAACGTTTGACTCCCCGAGCCTTTTGCAATTACTACTGCAATGCCTTTTACTACTCTGCATGTTAGTTTGTCCATCAGCAAAACCAGACTTAACTTCTCACGTTTCTTTCAATTAGGATAATAATTGCCACTGGTTTAGGAAGCTCATCCTGAGAAACTTTCGGCCTGATTGAAGATACTTCTAGGACCTCTGAAAGGGACTTTCAGACACCTTGGGCAGTGTATATGAGAGCTGACCTGTACAGAAGAGTCACAGTTTTACTGTTCATAAACAACGAAGCTTTCTGAGAGCTTTTAACTACGAGCTCAGACCTGAACCAAGGCATCAGCTAACAGGATGTGTCTCCAGGGTACACATGTAGATGTGTATGCATATAGTAATTTGTACCAACATACTTATTTTTCTCCAAAAACCCAGATGATGCATACTTAAACAGGTATACTCTACTGTAGCATGGATGGGAAACAATGAGAAATGAGATCGCTACAACTTGCCTGTCTACAGCAGCACGGTTGAGAGCATCTTACCTTGACATGGTGTATCAGGCGCTCAACTTCATTCACTTTATACGTCTCTATTCCTAACTCTTTAGATAACCGCAGGAGACGATTTTGTGTTGGCCCCACGTAAGCTCCTCCAAGGTCCACATATTTAACTTGCTTATTCTAGTTTATCACACACAACACACAAAAAGGAGGGGAGGGGGGAAAAAAAGCATTAAAAAAAGATAAGCCCTTTCTAAATAGCACACAAGTTAAGAGCAACCCAGAGGAATTCTTTAAATGAAACACTCCCAGAGCATTTTGGCCAAGATTCCTCTCCCCATGGAAAACTTCAATTCTTTGGCAGAGTTCTGAGGTGGTGGTTACTGAGAATCTCAGATAAGAAGTTCATAACCAGCTTAGCTGGCCTGTTGTTACATTACAGCCTTAACAAGCACAAGAGGAAAGAGCCTGACAGGCAGGGAGAGGAGGACAGAGTCAGAGACATCCGTGTAGTTCTTCCTCAGTCAGGCATCTTGCCAACGACTCGTTCAAAACAGACTGTACTAGGAAGTAGCACAAGTAAGATTTTCTAACGAGCAGAGTGGGAGGGGGTCTCCCAGGTCAAGGTAGGGCAGAAGGTAGGGAGGGAAAGGAGACATGCTGGTTCTAGTTCCCAGCCACCCCTGCCATTCCTCTAGCCTACGTCAGTCCTCACGGGGCTTGTTACGGTTCAGCTCAAGGCTCTTCATGGCGTGGTTGGCTTTATGGGTGTTTTTTCACAGAGATTTCTCCAGTGTCTCTCTCCGGGAAATTGTTTTGAAACTTAGCTAATCATGTTGTTCTTCCCAGAGGAAAGGACTGATGACTCCAGATCCTGCAGATCACATGGAAATATTCTGTCCCCACCATCATGCCACTCTTTGCCTACTCTTGCTGATACAATATCAGGAAGTTTGCCACCTGCTAGTGCACTAGAAATTTTCCCTCAAGTAGGTCCTCTAACAGGAAAGACAAATAAATACATTTATATACACTATTTGTATAGTGTATGATGTATGTATAGTATAAATATATGTGCCTAATTATACACATGTATAGTATATACTATATGCATGTATATGTAGTATAAATAGGTTTGGAGATAATTACCCTTACGGTGAAAGTTCTTCCACCAACCCTGTCATTGGCTTCCAGCAACACCACATTCAAGCCTGATTCAGTCAGCAGTTTGGCTGCTGAGAGACCTGAAAGATAAAAAGAAAAACAATTAAAGAATACTTCTGTCTATACCCCGTGGCTTTTGTGACTTGATATGTAAACACTCATATAGCTATCCATTCAAATTCTGAATTTTTCATTCAAACGCTTTGCTAGAAGGGTGAGATAGAATTAAAAAAAAAAATCAATAATGAAATGGAACTGAAGCCACATATCAAAACAGTTTGTGGTCAAATTTTACATGTGTTGAGTTCTTCCGATGCATAAGCCAGCACCTGTTATGATAGTCATCCAGCCAGGCAGAGAACTTTGGGAGGACAGTTTTCTAACATCAGCACATAATCTTTTGTAACCCCAACAAAAAAAGGAAGAAGTGAAGTTTTGTTAGGACTGTCCTAAGTCTCAAATGTTTTCCTGAAGCTTGTATGTGTCTGCTTTCCAGATCTGAATATTTTATAGTACATTAGCAAAGTTCCCACACAGTCAGGTCACAGGTTTCTTCTCCTGAAGAACACATGACTCAGAAGAGACAGAATGTGTGCTTGTGTGTGGCAACAAGAAGAAAAAATATGGGTATGTCTACCCCAAAAAATTGTTTCGTTCCTCATCCATTTTCTTCATGGACTTTTATTTCTATCTTGCAATTCTTGAAGCTGAGACACCAAGAGAGGGAACAATGGCAATACAGGAGGGAACACCAAATTTTAGTTTTGATGCCATAAAATCCTCATAATTGCAGAGGAAAATATTAGCATCAGGCCCTGCAGCAAGTGTGTCAAGCTGCCATGGGAATGAAGGGAAATAGAAAGGGTGCACGATGTGGAAGGAACACAGTCCGCAACCTCTCAACTTCTTAAGACCATCTCTGCCTTTTACTTCAGCATGCAACCTGAAATTTGTATAAACTGAGGTTCTTTCTTTGGCCACATGTGAGTGAATTTCTAGTGGGGCAACAAAAGTTATAGTCTAGAGGGTTGCATCATCCTCCTGAACTGATAGGATGTGTTGAATAAAGTTCAGCACAGGCCAGGCTAGAAGACACACTCATACTTCAGAATTTAGCTATCCTTTTTGGCTCTCTGCCTTGTCACCAGCAGAAGGCAGTTTCCCCTCTGTGTCCTAGTACATGTAGTTTTTGAGAAGTCGTCACAGCAGATTGTTCAAAGCATAAGGCAGCCATGGAAGAAACGGCAAAAACGCTGGTAGGAAAAACATATGGCCGAAGCTAGCATGGCAGGACTGAATGAAATGATAATGAAGTAAATATAGCAGCCCTAGATAGAGAAAGAATATTAATGATAGCTACTAAAGGTGCTACAGAACGTTCTGGTCATCAACGAGTGGCTTGGGATTAGGAGAACCAGGTCCTGTCTCCATCACTGCAATGAACCTGCTGCACTGTGCTAGTTAAATCACTTAAGCGCTTTGTTTCCTCATCTGTTAAAAAAAAAAAAAAAGAAAAGAAAAAAGAAAAAAGAGAAGAGACCTATGTATCTAAAGGATTTGATATTTTCTGAAGAAAAGCTGCAGATGTTTCCATTAAAAGTTCATACTGTTCTGCTTTTATTTCTAGCTTCATGGGCTTATTTATCTTGGGTTTTCACAGAAGTGTTAGTGAGAAAACCAGTAATGACACTGATAAAGGTTTTTCCATATTTCCTTATTGAGGAAATTATATTGCAAAAACATGTGGCTGGATCAGTGGCCTTGACTACGCTCACAAATATTTGAAGATACCAAGGAAGAACAAAATACAGAAAACAGTCATAGCATGCAAACACGGACCACCCCTTCAAACAACCTGCAAAAAGATATTTGCTCCTGAAGGAAAAACAGGCAACAAAACTCCTAAATAAATAAAGCTTACCAGTTAAAGTTTAAAAAAAAAAAAAAAGTTGCTCTTCAAAAAAGACAAGTATTTAATCAGTTGGGAGAGGATCAATAGTAGTTATTAATAATTTACAGAATGAATACATAATCTGAAGGCTGTTGTCACTGCAGGTTTCCGTTGGCTTATCATGTTAACAGGTATTGATTAATCAATTAATAATATTCAGTTACCAACACTGATTAAGGAAGACGAGATTTTACTTTATTAGAATCTGATGAATAAACATTTCAGTACCGCTGGGAACAACGGCAGTTTATTCCCAAGAGCTGAATAGACAGAGAAGCTTGTGAAAGGATGGCTGTGTTCCAGTCGAGTCCAGAGAGCTGATTCTTGCTGGTCAGCCCAGAGCCACCTCCTTGTTCCCTCGCGCACCCTTCACCCATCCTATTGCACCCACCTCCTATTTACTCCCGACTCTTTACTTTGGGGCAGGCGCCTCCTTCCCCCCCCCATATATTGGCAGAGGTACCCGTCAGAGATGGGTAGCACTTTACTGAAGCAAACACAAAAAACCAAACCAATGTTGAGCGGAGGATCGGGCTCGTTAGCATCTCGCTGCCCCATGCCCACCCCCCAGCAGACCAGACCTCTGTAGGGGGAGGGACGTGTCCGTGGGGCTTGACTCCATACTGGAAGGTGCAGTCTCCAGGGTTCCCGAACTAAGCACCACCAGACCACTTATTTTCAAGGGCTGCTGTCCTCCCCTTCCTCTCACCGACACGACAGCTCTATCGTGGCCCAAAGTCTGCTGAAGAAATTACGCGGATAATTGCTGACGAAGGCGGGGAACACAGCCAAACTCTGGCTCCTCCTCTCCTTCAGCAAAACACCTAACCGCGGAAAGAGGTGGAAGGAGCAACGGCAGAGGCTCAGGAGGGTCAGACGGCACGTGAAGGACCAGATTAGGTCTCACAGCACACACACTACAGGGCAAGGCAAGACAGATACCAAAAATAGCAACACTCCCACCTGTCAATACCGCACTGTAATGTGGTATCTCGTGCATTTGGAATCACAGTACTGCCACATCACCCCGTCCCTGTCCCCTGGAGGTGGACCCAAGACCCAAAATGGGCTCTTGAACTGTTGCTATAATAACAGCAAGACGCCTGGATGCTGGGGAGGGAGAGCTCCACGCCAAAGTGATACAAGGACAGATAAGGCACCAGGAACAGCAACAAAACCATTAAAATGGAAATTAATACTAGCACCTGAATATTAGGGCACGAGGCTGACGTGTGCTTTTCGGAAACTAAAAACTGCTGCAGGAAGCTCCTACAAACCACAACCTCTTTTCTGGGTTATAGTCAGAGTTGCCTCTCTGTGCCTAATACTCCATTTGCCGCAAACAGAGCGTGCAGGAAGCCTGTGGGGCAAAGCCTGGAAAATTCTGTCATACATGAGGTAAGATCTCCTCCTGAGAAGTTTAACCCTTCACAAGTTTCACACTTCAGCACTGGCTCTGGCTTACCTCTCACTCTCTTGCACATCACTAACAAAAGGCAGTTCTTTAATATTGCCCCCATTCCCCACAAGTGAGGCAACAGCCACATTTAAATGTAAAGCTCATCCAAAAATGTGACTGATGCTGTCTTAACTCCCATTTTGTGCACAATGTTGCATCACCCAGTGGTACCTTCCCCTCCTCCCCAGGAGCATTTCCACAAAATCTGACCTGCACTGCAACATAAGGGCTCAACCGCTTTTGCCACCACTTCGCAGAGGACAGTAACTGGGCCCAGTTTCCACCGCAGGTCAGCTTTCTTCAAGGGGCAACAGAGCGCCATATGTGTGTATATATGGCAGAAACCATATGGTTAAGCAGCCTCACCTGCAGTTCTGCTCAGAGAATTGACAGGCAGATAATTAATGCAAGCAACAAAGAAGCAAAGATGATAGGCCTTATTTGAAGCCCCACACTGAAAACACCATTGTGCTTAGAGGATGCTGAACTGGGTGAGCCTTCATCTGTTACCATGGCAACACGGTACCCAACCTCAGCCACTCAGAGACACTGGTGAGAGATTGCCTCCCCCAGCATTTTATAAAGCAAGTTCAAGCCACAAAAAAAAAATCGTTTCTCCATTGTGCAGCACTCTGCATTCACACAGTTCTTACTCAAAGGTAATAATCACGATAATTATTTTGTCTTCCGTTTCAACTTAGTTCTCTCCCGTTTGATATCTCTGTGCCTGCTAAACATCTTAAATTGCAGCATTTCATTGAGCAGCTTCATTATAACCTCACTTCTAACGTTAACAGCTTTCTTATATTAAGAGAACAACTAATTCAGATTTTTTCAATAATTTTTTTAAAAGAGAAAATCTTAAATTTCTGTGCTAGGGCAGAATCCAAACTCACATTTGGATTCACAAATGTGACAAGAGTCACATTTTTCATCTGACCCCCATGCGTTATGTATGTATTACAATGAAGCCCTCCAATCAAACACATTTGAGTATTTAAAAAACATTTTAAAATACTTTTTTTAAAAATTGATTGGACTTTTGTAACACCCATCTGATTCTGCCTGGAATCAGCAAATTTACTGAAATACCCTTTTAACCTCAGCTTTTCCACAAAAATTCACTAGAAAGGACATGATTGGAAGTTGCATCTCTGGTACCTCTCTAAATGATACTCGTGTCTTCTTCCATTTGGGTTTTTTTTGTTTGTTTCATAGGCTACTTCTGTCACTCTCTGGGTGGCTAGACAACCGATAAGTAACAGCAAGCCCATCAGCAAGATTTTATTTCTCCTTCAGGCTACACCCAATTCCGCTGCAGCGTATGAGGGACAGGGAGGGCAACTTGGAGGGGGATAGATTATAAAGGTGTAAACAAACTTTATTTCTGAAGGCATTCCT